CCAATCCGCCTCTTCCTGCCCGCTCGGAAGGACAAGATAGGGAAGTGAACACCACCGCCTGGGGAGCACAAGGTCAGCCACGTCGCGGAACTCAGGTGTGCAGGGCGCCCCACAGGAGCGCCCCCCAGAGTACGCAGCACCACCGCCCCTGTCCTCACTTCGCTCCAGCGGCGCGGCTGCTGTCCGGGCGGAAACAACAAATCCGGAACTCGCGGTCAGAAGCTGCCCGGCGACTGTGGCCGAGACACGACTCGGACAAGGAGGCGGAGGGCGGAGGGCGAGGAGAAGGAGGAAGAGGAACGAGGGGGGAACGAAAACAACGCGGCGAGCAGACGCAAACATGCAGGAGGAGAGGGAGGGCAGCAGAGGCAGCAGCGAGGTGGAGGTGGTGGTGAACCTCCTTTCTCCGACCGCGGGTCTCTGTGGCCTTCTCCTGCCGGCATGCCCCTCCACGCCGCCTCGCTGCGGCGGGCGGTAGGACAGGCATCGACCGAGGAGGGACACGTCGGCGCCATCGACGAGGCTACGCGCTGGCTCGGCTGCGGCGTCGCGGAGACGGCCTCGGGGAAAGCGACGGGCGTGAAGCCGACAGCTCGAGAGCACCCCGCGCGCACGAACAGAGGGCGACCTGGCCGCCCAAGCAAATCAGGAGCCTCGCCTCGTCGTGGGCCTGCGCCATCAATCAGATTCCTACCCCTCCTCCTCTGCCTCTTCCTCCTCCTCCTCGTCCTCCTCCTCCGCTTCCTCCTCCTCCTCCTCCTCCTCCTCCTCCTCCTCCAGGCCAGCGTCGTGACCAATATCACTGCGGTGGACTCTGGCGCACTGACGAGCGGAATCGCCTTCAGCCCGAGAGATGAGCGACGATCTCAGGAATTGGCCAACGTCCGACGGGAACCCGCGTCAGTGCAGACACGAGACGGTTGTCGGGCGTGAGCTGGAACGCCTGTGTATATATAAGACGAGGTAGTCCCCAGCAGCATGAGACTGGAAATACCACGACTCTCCTCTTTTGAGCACACGTTCGATACTGTTGATACCAAAGATGCCATTGAAGCTGCTATTTCTCCCGTGCACAGCGGTGATAATGAAGGACTGCCAACCGAGAACAACGCGGCTCACTGTACATAAAAACGCACAACATCAACATCGACACGTATCCCGACAGCCTCGTTGAATCACCACGTCACCTCGGAACAAAACATTATTGTTGATGCTAATGATACTGGTACAACTGCTACTACCACTACTACGACCACCACCGCTACTGCTACGACTATGTCTCACGGTAGCACTATATTACTAATGATCAGCATCGTGCTACTACTGAAATCACCCTGACCATCAGCACGTACAAAAACTCGTCAGCCGACCTGGATGTTTCCCGCACACCTGGCAACGCCACGCAAGACTCTGGCAATCGGAGCAGCATTCGTTTCCATTGCAGTTCGAGAGGAAGTAGACTACAACACATACAGGCATGACAATCGTAGAAAATGATATGGTAGCCGCAGTCGTATACGCATTACTGTAGCCATGCCGGTGCGAGCAGTACAGGTAACATATGCATGCGTAGCGGCCGTAGCAACAGTAGTAGTAATAAGAATGCAGAAACCTCTCGTCGCAATAGAAGACACAGTCAGTAGTGATGTAGTGTCAGTCAGCGGGTGATGATATAGTCACAGTCACAGTCACGTTATTTTTGAAGATTCCCCCTGTATGGGGACAGGCCCGACTTAACAATAGTTATACTCCACCGTGCAGTCGGCATGGCGGGACGTGCTCAAATATTGTTAGCTGCCTGGCGGGGCGTATCGCTTATGTTGCTAACGAAAGAGGTATTTCCATGGCAATGATGCGGTTGGAAAACGAAAACACCGCACCCACACCACACCTCCTATGATCGGGCTTAATGGGGGGGTCATAAACGGGGGGATCAGAAAAGGTCCCCTTTCGTGCTCCTTTCGGGCCCCTCCAGAGCCCCAGGGGGCTCGTTTAGGTACCGTTTGGGTACCTTTTCGAACCACCCTCGCCCCCCCCCCATTTATGACCCCCCCATTACGCGGCGCCCAATATGACCTGCTCCCGAAAAGTCCCCGTGACCCCAAGCAACACGGCTCCAAGACAGCCCAGGACCGCTCAAGACGTCTGCAAGTCACCGCAGGACCAGCCCTGGACGGCCCCACGGCGCTCGCGGCCCCACGACAGGATGCCCCCCAGAAAGCCTCCACAGGGCCCCGGAAAGCCTCAAAGGGGCTTCCGGCTGATCCTCCACAAAGGCATCCTCAATATGGTTTGCTCCCCCAACTATTCTGCCCATGATGGCCTCGGGAAGGCCTCGGAGAGCCCCCAGGCGGGCACAGGCAGTCCCGGTGCGCTCCCAAGGCAACCCTCGACGGCCACCACCACGGACCAGGAACGCCCTGCGACAGCCCAAGACGCTATTCCTACCGAGCCTCTCTGGGCCAGCTCGGTGAAGCAATCATCGTGCTCAAGGCAGCGGGACAACCCCGAGCAGGATCGCAAGAGGCCCTCAGAAGCACCAAGAGACCACACGACAAACGACAAACTCCGAAGAGACCAAACGACAAACTCCGAAGAGACCAAACGACAAACTCCGAAGAGAGACCAAACGACAACAGGGGGTCCCGAGAGACCAAACGACAAACTCCGAAGAGAAACTCCCAGGAGCCTCCAAAGTGACAGCGCGTGACCGTGCAGCGTCACGGCGACGCCGCACCACGGCATCGCAGCGAAGCCTGCCAGGCGGGGCCCGAGCATCTGCCCAGTGGCTGCTCGGGCGAGCACGGCCGAAGCGTCACGTCGGTATGCCGATGGTGCGCCGGCACAGTGGCGGGGCTTGTCGCAGGCAATTGGACAGTCGTTCTGCTCCTCTCTTCGAACGTTCGCTAACGAGGGGGGGGCAATGAATGTAGACCCTTCAGGCCAGCGGTGGCAGTTTAGGGCCCACCCCCGGCCCCTTTATGAGGCCAACTTCCTACAATCCACGATCTCCGCACGACTATTCTCACCCCCGATGGCGTCCGCCCGAATAATATGTTCCTGATCATCTTCCTCATGATCAAGGCGCTCCCGATCGCGGCAATTGAGGCGACTTCGGTCTTGAAGCGTCGTCGTCACCAGCGTAGTCGTCTTGAGAGGCTTGCAGGGCTCCTGTCGACGCGCGCGAAAGATGATACAATGAGGTGACGACACGTGTCCGATCAGGTCGGTGGGAGATGAGGTAGGAATACTGCAAGGACCGATGGATACAAATGTAATGTCTCCGTCGTGTGAAGAGGGATGCGCCCCTCCCTGCCTTCAACACTGCGAGGCGGCACGCGACAAATATACCTCACTCCGAGACCATCCCCACGGCCGTCCCGGGGAGATGCAAGTCGACTGGGCATGCACCTTCAACCAAAGTCGTGGCGTAAGGGACTGTGTGGGGAGCCCCTCTTCGAACCAGAGGCACCACATTCCAAGCCTTGCCTGCTCAATCTCACACAGTCCGCCACCGAGACGCCCGGTGCGGTGGGCGTACCAGAACACTCCTGTGGGATCTTGCCGTTTCCAATGGCTTGTCCCAGCTGCCTGGGCCGAACCCCCTTGTAGAATCCCCAGAAGGCCCGCTTCCTGGCCATCGCTCGGACGTCCATTTCCTGTGTTTTTTGTCGGATTCGTGCGTGGCTTTTTCCCCAAATGATCAAGGATGCTCCTCGATGCTCCTCGCCGAGGAAAAAACGACGGCCCCCATTGACCAGCACGATGATCAATGATGGCGCCAACGTGCGGTGCTTGTCCAACAGAGCCCTCCAGCACGACGCAGGCGGCGTACGGAGGGCCCAGGCAGGCCGCGTGCCATCGGTGGAACTGAGCAGGGCGAGCAAAGGCTGGGCCAGCACACGTCCTGAGGCTCATCGACTACTGGCCATCGCTCGGACGTCCATCCCCTGTGCTTTTTGTCGGTGTCGTGCGTGGCTTTTTCGCCAGATGATCAAGGATGCTCCTCGAGGGTCCTCGCCGGAGGGAAAAGGCACACGCCCGAGCGGTGCCAAGACTGGCACGCCCCCAAGAGGCCATGGCCGCTGGAACCATCGGGGCCCGTCCCGAGACCATCGAGGAGCCATCGCGGCCAGGGCCCCGTGGATCGAGAGTTCCTCCTCCAAGCCCAGAGCGCCACGGCGGTGCTGCTGCTTCAGACCTTGCCAGAGGCACATGGAGTGCCTACATACTCTTGCCGTAGCCTCAGAACACGTCCCCGAGCACTACCCGTCGCAGTGAGTAGAAACATCAGTCAGGAAGGCGTTGAACGCACCCTGAAATGGAATGAAAAGGGAAAACCATGCGGTTCTTGAAATCCCGCTAGCCCTTTACGGCGTGAATGGTTTAGAAAGATTATTCACTCGCTTCGCTCACTCCGCTGGCCCGTATTGCATGATCGCTACTGCTTCGGCGCGGGCTCGGGGCCATTTCGGCGCCGCCGGAAGGAGGAAGATGAGGATGGGGAGGGGGAGGGGAGGAGGAGAAGAGGATGAGAAGGAACGGAGGAGGATGAAGATCAATATGAGGAGGAGGAGGAGGAGGAGGAGGAGGAGGAGGAGGAGGAAGAGAACAGGGCGGAGGAGGAAGCCTCTCGATGGCATCTTGCGGCGCTCTTGGGGCCAAACAGGGCCGTCGTCCAGATGCTTCTTTGGGAGGCCCTGGGGTCTGTTGAGAGGCCGTTCGGGGACTTCTGGGAGACATTTTTGAAGCCTTGTAGGGCCTCTTTTGAGTCTCCTTGGAGCCTCCTGGGGTCTCTTGGGGGCCTCTTGGCGGCATCTTGGGCCATCTTGGGGGCCTCTCGGGGCCTCCTGGGGCCCTCTTTGGGCGGAAGGCTTGAGGTTTCGGTTCGTGGTCCCCATCTTGGGCCCCTCTTGGGGCCGTCTTGGGGCTCTCTTGGGCCGTCTTGGCGTCTCTTGGGCCGTCTCGGGGCCCGTTTGGGCTCTCTGGGGGCCTTCTTGGGGGCCTCTTGAGCCGTCTTCGTGCGCTCTTTTTTTTAACGCCCTAAGGCTGGTCAATTGGTCGCGGGAAGGCGCGTCCGACGAAGACTGGAGCCCGCGGCCGCGGGGTGAAACATCCTTCGACGAAGCGCACGGCAACCAAAAACGCATAAAGGTTGGAGGTGGCCAGACTTGGCCTCCACAAAGTGGGCGGCGGCAGGGGGGGAATCGAGGACTAACATGAGAAGATATGAAGGGGCTTGAAAATGACCGCCTGCGCGCAACCGCCAATATTGGCACTCGAATTCAAAAGGAAGCTTGGAATCGCCACTGGGGCAAAGTTGGCGTCGCCAAATCTGGCCGATGTCGCTTCTGGTCCGAGAGTGCAGGCGGACTGCTGGAACCGTCTACCCGTACTCAGGCTGTCGCCTCTAGCCTAGTCGGTCGACTTAGGGGGAGAGCAACGTGCACGCTGTGGCACCTGGCGTCCAACCAAAAGTGCGCAGTCTCCTTGCGAAAACACGGAAGTGCGAGGATCAGAATCAGACGGGAAAGGACGCGAGGAAAAAGACGCGGGAGAGTCGTGAGGTCGGTGAGCCGGAGGAGGGGGAGGAGGGGGGAGAGGGGAGGGGGCCAGGCAACAGAGGGAAAACGCGACGAGGGATAGAGGGGGAACGCCATCAACTTTGGTTGGGCTTGGAGAAGGGCGAATCCGACGCCCTTGCCGCATCGTCGGGATGCGCGCCAGCGGCGCGGGGACACCAGCAGGGCGGGGGTGCGGCAGGTCTGGCTGAGGTCCGACGGGGGACGGATTGTGCTATGGAGTATTATGGTGCCGATCTGTGGCGACCGTTCCAGAACTGCAGCGGGACTCTGTAACGACAAAGCCCAACACTGGCCATCGCTCGGACGTCCATTCCCTGCGTTTTTTTCGGTTTCGTGCGTGTTTTTTTTCGCCAATTGATCAAGGATGCTCCTCGATGGTCCTCGCCGAGGAAAAAACGCACACGTCCGAGCGATGCCAAGCAACAACCGCCTCAGTCACGGGTAGCTGGCGAGCGCTGGTATATTTCAGACGGCTGGCGGACTCAATACGAGCGGCTCCCTCAATGCACTGTCGCATGCTGCTTGATGAAAGGCATGAACACTTCACGGTAAGCCTTCACAGATTTCGCCATGCCGGCGATGCCGCACACTAAAACGAATGAGCACACGAGCTTCGGCATGTCGAAGTCGGGATCGTAAAAGTACGCCGTGCAAGAGCTAATGGCCAGGCCTATTGCGGACACAGCAACAGACACCTTGATGTCTAAGGTAGCTTGAGTAACAGATGATGCATGGACACACCCCAACGAGAACAACCACCCGCCGAAAAAAAGAGCCGCGCTCCAGCAACGAGATCGTGGCACCTGTCCTGCATCATTATCCTGTAAGACAATTTTGAAGAGCGCGGCAAAGCATATCGAAGAGATGGAGACCCACGTAGCATTTCTGGCCCTCTGGCGCATAGTATTGAACGAGGCAAACGCTTCAAGAAGGATCATCATGAGTTCCCCGTGTGAGTTGATTGTCAGCGCCCTCTCCTCGTCAATTTTCGTACTTGACACTCCTGCCAAGTCGCTCTGCTCTGCAGCCCGGTGCAATTTCTTGGAGGGCTCCAGTGTGTTACCTTCATTCTCTTCGTTAACTATGTACTGGCTAAGCCCCTTGACGTTCGCTGTGTAGTAGTACTCGAGCAGTGAATGCGTTGTTGTGTAGATGCTGGTAGATATTGCAACACACAAACACATCATCATGCCCTCCTTTCCGACCGTCTCAATTGACAGCACGATGGTGACAGCGATGCTGAATACGAGGGTGCTGATGAGGCCCAAGCTTGCAGCGGTGTCCCCGATTGAGCTGATCACTGTTATTTCCATACCATCGTAGTGCACGAGCTTGCCCGACCGCACGGCACCCCGCGCCAGCGCGCGGTGCATCTCCCTCGGGAACCGGCCAGCGCCGGGGCCTACGAGCAGCGGCCGGATGCGCTCGGCAAGGCCTGAGGTCCGGGTGGCCCAGGCTCGAGCCAGGGCGGCCTTGAGCCAAAATGGCTACGGACCGTCTTCGTGCGCTCTTGGGGGCCTCTTGGGCCGTCTTGGAGCATCAGAAAGCCGAAAATGCGACAAGGCCAAAATGCGTCCAAAACCATAGTAAAATTTATGATTTTGGCCTCTCGGGGCGCTCTTGTGAGGCCTCTTGGAGGCCACTTGGAGCGTCTTGGCGGCTTCTTGGGCCGTCTTGGGATCATCTTCGGCGACTTGGAGCGTCCTTTGGGCGTCTCGGGGGCCTCTTGGGCAGTCTTGGGGGCCTCTTGGGGCCCTCTTGGCGCGCTCTTGGGGGCCTGAGAGGCCGTACCCAGGAGGAAAACCATATCTGAGTAGACCTTCCCGGGCTGCGGTCGGGGTACTTTTCGCCGGGGGAACCCCAGGGGCCGCCCCGCGCGCGCGAACTGGAAATATTGTTAAGTAGTTACCGGAGATCTTAGCACGCCTCTGGCCCGTTGGGCCGGCGAATTTCCTCTTCCAACCCGCGATCGCTGCCCCTGATCAACATACACTCCCTGCCCATTCCGACCGGCGACCAACCCGGGACAATGCGGACACCCCCGCCATCCCTGCCAACAAACGAAGCAAGTTGCGCACTGCGGCAACATCTGGACCCGTGCGCGAGCGCGCACTGTGAACAGTTTGCGTGAAATGTTGACACGGGCGGTGGGGGGATCTTCGTCTTTCCCGCTCTGCGCAGGCCTACCTGTCGCTGCCGCAGCACCATTTAACATACACTGTGTTGTAACATCCGCACCGTGCGCGGGCGCCCCATGATCACTCTGCAGTGGTGTTGGACAGGGATGGCAGCCGTGCCCTCCAGGTGTCCGCTCCGCGCAGGCCCACCATCCATCCCAACACACACTGCAAACTACACCGTGTGGCAGAAGCTGGCTCTGGCGCGGGCGCCCAGCGATCATTGCGCATAGTTGTTGTTGTTGTTGACAGATGAAGCGGCGGAGGGGGGGGCACATATTGACCATTGTGCGTAAGCTCATCCTGACATAAAGCAAACAAACTGCATGCTGCTGCACGGTCTGCATGTATAAATTCTCTCCCCCTCAACATATACATATATGTGTGTACATATACATAGAGTTGGACATATATATATATGTGTGTATATATAAACATATATTTATAATTTAATATATATATATATATATATATATATATAGATCACTCGTGGGCGCCCCGCGATCACTTTGATTCGGTGCAACCACCCCTGACAACAAAAACACGAACAAGTACACGCTGCGGCAAAATCTGGACCAGGCGCGGGCGCCCAAGTCCGTAGCTTCCCCCACCCGAACGCCAACTTCGAGGTTCCCCTTCTCAACCCCATTCTCTCAGTCAGCCGTCCGCCCGCTTTGTTCAACACTGCAATTGCGACGGGACCTATGAACTCAGTGGGATCGGGGGCCCAAGGCTCGGATGCTGCGTATACGTTGTGAGGGCGGGCGGGAGGGAGCGACACGGCTTGCGGCTTGAGATAGCTTGACCCCACCCCGGCGCCATCCCCCTGGGTCTGGAATAGGACGGGCCGCGAGGCGCTAAAGCGTCCCACAAAGCCTCAGCGAGCAGACACAAATCAGTGAGCGTGCGAAGGTCTCAGGCCAATGCTGACCTCCTGGAGGGGCGCCGCTATTAAGCCCCCCCCTCGCTTTGACCGAAAGCCTCCCAGATCACCTCAATACGACCCGAAACGCCTTCAAGGCAGCCCCACGAGGCCTCAAGAGGCTCCCCACCGGCACCCAAGACGATCCAAGAAGCCCCCCCCCCCATGAGCTGGCAAGAGGCCCCCAGGACGCCCAAACGACACCCCGAGAGACCCAAGGAAGCATCCAAGGTGCTTCTGGCCCACATCATATGACATGTCCACATGCTGCAGCGCCCCGCCGTTCGAGGCAGCCCCGCTGGGCATCTTGTCTGGAGATGGGCTGGCGGAGATACCTTGTGGTACGCGGGCTCGCGAAGCAAGTCGAAAGTCGTGCAGGGCGGGCGAGCTACGCGCCGACGGGAGGAAACAACGGCGAGCAGGAGCGGCCCCATCAGAAGCCACGAAAGGCTGGCGGAGATACGCGAGGCTTTGAGGATAAGAAGACGCCCAAGCTATGCTGGAGCCTGTCGGAGAAGAACTGCTTGAGACAATGGAGGCCCCAGCCTAGCCCAAGTCCGTTCATCATGCGGCGGCAAGCGAGGGGGGGAAGTGAGAAGGAGACGACCTTCTCAGAAGCTTCAGATGTCCCCTGGCGTTTGAGAAGTTAATCTCTCAGGAGGCGCGAGGACTTCTGAGAATTCCCGCCGCCTTCTGAGAGGGCCTTCTCACTTCCCCCCTCGCTCACCGCCGAAACATCGGGGTCCACACTGACTCGATCCTCGACGCGGGTGCAGCTTTGGCGACGGGAAGTCTCCAGAAGGCCCGAAAAAACGAAGCGAGCGCGGGAAGCCCGCCGTTGTCTCGCCCAAAATGAAGGGGCCCAAGGACACACAAATAAATACTCACAAATACAAGGATTCCCCATATTTTCCCATATGTTCTTGAATGTTGTCTTCCCCCCCCCACTTCCCATGTTTTCCCATATGTTCCTGGGAGTCGTCGATTCATGGTGTCTGTGTGTTTTTGTCCCCTCCTGGCCAGCACGCGACAGTGAAGCTAAAGATCGACCATGAAAAAACAAGCCTTCGGTGACGAAACCAATGGAAGCAGAAGCCAGGTCGGCCAGCGTGGGCCCCCAGACCGTGAGAGTTCGTGAAGCCTGTGCGGTGCGATCCCCGGTGGTGCAGCGACAGTGGTGCCGTCGAGGCTGCACCATACAGTCAAAACGTATATCGAGGACGGGTGATAAGGGCGCAAGACCCTTGGAGGCCGAAGTTGGGTTTTTTTAGGGCGGCGGGCGACCAGTGCTAGTGGCAAGGACGAGGCTTAGAGGCAAGGGCACAAGGATACCCTAGATGAAGGCGCGCGTCCTCACTGGGCGCGTTGACTGTACATGTGTAGCGCGTGTAGGAGCAATGCGAAGCAATGCAAAGCAATGCAAAGCAGTGTCAAGCACTGCAAAGCAGTGCCAAGCTATGCAAAGCAATGCATCGCAGTTGAAGCGATGCAGAGTAATGCAGTGCAAAGCAATGCAAATCGATCAGTGCACCTCAATGCAAAGCAATAGAAGGCAATGCCACGAGACGGCGGCGGGTCGGCGACGGCGACCACAAGGCAGCGGGCTCGACAACGGAGCCAAGATCCTCAGAAACGAAGTAAGAAGACCCCAAGTTCAAGCACCGCTTGGGGAACAAAAAAACTGCGATGCAAAAGCTCTGCTCAAGTGTCATATGTGCTGTTTTACCGCACTCGAGCCGATCTGTTGCACTACTGAGCCTGATTTTATAGAGGCCTCCTAGATGGGGTCCGACCAGATGGGGTCGAAGAATCGCGCCGCATCGCCGATACAATGGCGATGCATCGGCGATGCACCAGCGATGCATCGACGACGCGGACGACGATGCATCGGCGACATCGACCAGGCTCCACATCAAACCGCATCGGCGAGGCATCGTCGATGCGGAGCGTACTCCAACCCCATCTACTCCAACCCCGTTTGAGCGGCCTAGACCGTATCGCACTCTTTGAGCAGGGACCGACCGTCCCGGCATTCTTATATTCCTACCACGACATGTTCTCAGAACCCAAAAATGTTCTAATGACAAAAACAGTGTTCTTAGAACATAAACAGACTCCGCCAGAAATGCTCTAAGAACATCTCGCGGGAACCACAAAAGGTTCTTAGAACATTGTTTGGTAGGGCCACAGGCGAGCCAGGACGCTCCGCCAGTGCTTGAACTCTTGAGCCCTCCTCCGACACATCAATCGAGCAGTGGGCCATCTCGAGCAGCACCAGCCCTGCATGCGTGCAAGACTCATATCCATATCCAGTGCCTCTTGGACTTTTTTGGAAGCGGCGCCACAAGGCCGAAGCGCACTGGATATGGATAAAAATCCAGCCTCTAGGGGGCAAATTGATCCATATCCAGTGCGCCTCGGGTTTCTTGGGAAGGGAGCCCGAAACTCCATACTGCAGCGGATATAGACAGAAGCATTGCCCGCACTGCACGCCCCAGGCCCGCCCCGCGCGGCGGCGGGTCTCCGCGCTGGCGCAGAGCGGCTGGGCGCCCGCACCGCCTCCCGGGGCGGGGCGCAACCGGCGACGAGGCGCGCACTCCCCGGGGGCACCGCGGCAGCCGGCCGGGGGCCACCCCTCATAGACTCATAGACCCTGAGACGCAGCCATTACCAGCCTCGAACGTATCCCTATCCCTAAGATTGACACGCCAAAAGGCGATGACAATCTTAGGGATTCGCCCTCAAAAAATAAGGGATGAGGAGGTGCCCAGCATAGGGATAAGGATATGTTCTAGGCTGATAAAGCCAGGACGAGGACGCCTTCGGGCGAGGGCGAGCCGGGAGTCTCTGAGATCCGGCGGCTCGGGAAGCTGTCTCGGGCGCGGGCGGCCTTCTGCGGGAGCGCTCCGGCAGGCTCTGGCACTGATCTGCCCTCGATCTTGATGGGCCTGTTTTCCACCACCACCACCAGAAGTTGGAGGGGAGGGGGTCCTCCTCCTCCTCCTCCTCCTCCTCCTCCTCCTCCTCCTCCTCCTCGTCCTGCTCCTCCTCCTTCCCCCGTCCAACTTATGGTGATCGTGGTGGAAAACAGGCCCCTCAGTCCTGGCCCCGTCCGCTGCCCTCCACCTCTGGTGTCTGGTCCGTGGGAGCCCGCGTGGCCCCCGGAACTGCTCGGCGTATGGGCCCGGTCTGGACCGGCATCGGAGCACATCTTCGACCGGAGTTGGACCGGACTCGGGGCGGGTTCGAACTTGGAGGCCTGGTAATGGGCACCAAGACAGGGGGTTGCCTCAACATGGGGAAGATGATCCTAGATTTCGGGGTTGGTGGCCATACTTCGGCCACCTTGGAAGCCAGAATACTACTACCATCACCGAGATCGGGATCGTCTTCCCTCAGTGGAGGCACACCGCCGATCTTGGTGTTGGTGACAACCTCCAGGCCTGCGAGGTTCACCCCTTCACAGTGG